TGTAGAATATTATTTATGCTATTAAAAAGTAAAACGGCGTTCCATATTATGGAAGATTATATATTATGTTAAGACATAATAAAAATGCATTATAATTATGTCTACACATAAGAATAATGCTGCATTTCTTTATAAAACGCTGTAAAACGCCGTTTTATTTTTCAGTAGCATAAATAATATTTTACTTGATATAAACGTTTCAAAAAATAATTGTCTGAGAAAAATTGCAATACTTATTCATGAATTAAAATTATGTGTACACGTAATTTTAATTCAGCCAATTTTTATTATGTCTAGACATAATTTTAATTCATTAATAAGAGTCGCAATTCTTCTTAAGACAATTATTTATTAAAACTTTTATATCGAATAGAATATTATTTATGCTATTGAAAAGTAAAACGGTGTGCCATACAATTTTCATCAAATTTTAATTTGACAAATTAAAATTATGTCTGGACATAATTTTAATTCATCCAATTTTTATTATGTCTAGACATAATTTTAATTCGTCAATTTTTATTATGTCTAGACATAATTTTAATTCATTAATAAGAATCGCGATTTTTCTTAAGACAATTATTATTCTATCTTTTGTATTGAATGGAATATTTATTATGTTATTAAAAAGTAAAACGGCTCGCCTTATCAATTTTTATTATGTTATGACATAATTTTAATTGAATGAATTAAAATTATGTCTAGACATAATAAAAATTTTTTTTATGTCCCGGCATAATTTTAATTCATTCAATTTTTATTATGTTTAGACATAATAAAAATTGGCTGAATTAAAATTATGCCGGGACATAAAAAAAATTTTTATTATGTGTACACATAATTTTAATTCATTTTTATTATGTCTAGACATAATAAAAATTGACTGAATTAAAATTATGTGTACACATAATTTTAATTTATTTTTATTATGTCTAGACATAATAAAAATTGGATGAATTAAAATTATATGTTAAAATTTAATAATAATTGTCGAACAAAATAAAAATTGTATGAATTAAAATTATGTTTAGACATAATAAAAATTGGACGAATTAAAATTATGTCTAAACATAATAAAAATTAGATAAATTAAAATTATGTCTTGACATAAAAATAATACCGAATTTTTATTATGTGTAGACATAATTTTAATTCGTCCAATTTTTATTATGTCTAGACATAATTTTAATTCATTAATAAAAATCGCAATTTTTCTTAGACAATTATTTTTCGAAACTTTTATATCGAGTACAATATTATTTATGCTATTGAAAAGTAAAACGGTGTGCCATCCAATTTTCATCAAATTTTACTTGGACGAATTAAAATTATGTCTAGACATAATTTTAATTAATTATTTTTATGCCTAGACATAATAATAATGTTTCTAAACCATTTTTCTCTTTATTGTAAATTGGAGAATTAGTTTTTATTTGTATACTAAAAATGTTTGCTATTAAAAAGTAAAACGGCATGCCATAAATGTGTTGCTTATGTTCGAAAACGTCAAAAAATCGTAATTTTAGATAATGTTTGTATGTATTGTCCGTTAATGCTCTAACTTCCGTAATTTTTTAGATATCGGGATGCATTTTTTTTAATCGATAGAGTATTATGTAAGGAAGGTTGGGATTGAATTTGGCGATGATCGGTAAAGCGGTTCTTTTTTATTTTAATAAAATTTAGAATTTTGGTAAAAATGTTTGTGGTTGTTCTAACTTCCGCAAATTTGGAGATATTAATCTATTTCTAATTTTATTATATTCTTCAGTCTTTTCTACCCCTATTTCATATATAATTCTTTAAGATTTGGTAGACTCAGCTTTATACGCGATCAAAGATCCGTAATTTTTAGAAAAATGTCTGTAATAGCCCTAACTTCCGCAAATTTTAAGATATCGGTCTATTTTTAATTTTATTATATTCTTCAGTCTTTTCTATTTCTATTTCATATATAATTCTTTAAGATTTGATTGGTCTCTGATATTTTTTTCTTTTCTCTGAAACTAGCAAATTATTTAGCAAAGTCTAATCTGAATGCAATCTTTTAAATCAATAAATTAGTATAAATGAAAAAGTATAATTAAAGAAAGTTAAGGAAGGATAGAGGCAGACAGACTTTCAGGAAAAAAGCAAGAAGAAAATGCAGCCTGTAAATTTTATGAAAAAATTTGAAAAAAAATTTGTGCAAATTAGAAATTTGCACTTGGCTTCCTCATCAATTTGAGATGTGCGATTTAGAAATTTGCACATAGCAAAGTCACAATTTTGAAGTGAGAGAGTAGGAAATTAGCAATTTGAATCCACAACGTATTGCTACGCGCGAAAAACTTCCTCTATGAGGAAGTCAAACTAAAAATTATGCATCTAATAAAATACAAAAGATTCCTCATAGAGGAGCTTTGAGCGCGTAGCAATACGTTGTGGATTCAATTTGCTAATTTCCTACTCTCTCACTTCAAAATTGTGACTTTGCTATGTGCAAATTTCTAAATCGTTTATATATAATATCAAAATTCAAAGAGAAATTCTTTTTATTATTAAAAGTTGTTATTCAAAGTTTTTAACCAGTAAAAATTGAAGAGAGAGTATATTTTGTACACAACATATTGAAGATATTCTTCGCACTCGATGAACTTGTGACATCCCATTTCTCATATTTTTTTTCTCTGTTCTGTGCTTTTTTCTTAGGAAATAAGCGTGTCCCAGCTCATCGAATAGTACTCAGTGCTGGCTCTGAATATTTTGCTGCCATGTTCACAAGCTCTCTACGAGAGTCGGCACAAAATGAAATAGAATTAATGGATGTTGATGGAGATGCTTTATGGGCTTTGGTTCTTTATTGTTATACAGGTAATTCTGCTTAAGAAGATATGTTTCATGTAAGAAAACATTTCACGAATATTAACATTACGATAAAGGCATTTACAGATATTTTTTGTAAGCCGTTCTTGTTAATTTTAGGATATCTTGTCAATTCTTAATAACATGTTTTTTTGTATACTTGCAGGTTGCATAGAATTGCAGGAAGATAGCGTAGAGACTCTACTTGCAACAGCATGTTTGTTACAATTGAATCCAGTTATTAAAGCGTGCTGTCAGTTTCTCGTCAAACAACTTCACCCAAGCAACTGTCTGGGCATACGGATGTTCGCCGATACGCAGGGTTGTTCGGAATTGCTTGAATACGCACACGCATACACTACCAAACATTTCATGGAAGTTACAAAAAATCAAGAATTCTTACTGCTATCTGCCAATGAAGTTGCGAAGTTACTTGAGTCTGAGGATCTTAATGTTCCCTCGGAAGAAACTATCTTTCATGTAAGACAACTGTTTGTTGAGCGAACCAATTTATATGAAATATTAAGAAGGAGATGTGATCATAGCGATAAGTTTTTTATAGCTATACTATTGATCATAAATATACAAATATGTATTTCTATAATTGTTTGAGCAAATATTTCATACAAATGCAATTAAAATACCTAAGTTGAGATACAGAATAAATAGAATCGTTATTGTTTTATTATTATTTCAG